AAAATATCAACATCCAGCCAGAAAGAAAAAAATACAAGCATAATAAAGAATCGATATCCGCAATATGAGGTCTGCTAAAAAGTAAAAGTCTATGTTGACATTTGGACGCATATTTAAAAAAATAAAATATTAATTTCAATATTCCCTTATTTAAAATAAAATTATATTATTTAAAAAATAAAAATAAAATGGTAAACTTAAAAAAAACACTTAAAAAAAAATTTTTTTTTTTTTAGGTAAAAAAATGGATGGTAAAGAAATCTACAAAAGAAGCAATTTTTAATTTACCATTAAAAAAAAAAAAAACTTTAGAAAAATAATTTATGTACAGAAAATATTTATTAGCTGATATTAAATTGCATATTTATTTACTAATGTGGAAAAAAAAAATTCTCCCCCAAAAAGTGAAATTTCTAATTCAAAAACGAATGCGCAAAAAAAATCTACAAATAAATGTTTCTTGTTTAATAGTAATGCAGTTTGCACATAAAACAATTTTTCAATTCTCTAGTCTGAATACAAACCAAAACAAAATCAGAAAACACGAATAAATTAAACTACTACAACTGCATTTTCCTCGCTATATACAAGGATTATTTCTCGAATGTCCATCCGTAGCAGAAAATAGATAATCAGTAAATTTTTTTCTTCTTCTTACGATCAATGAAATTTTACACAAAAGTTAATTTGGGTTGATTTGTGGCTTAACATTGCTAATTTTTCATTATCAGCTATTTAATTAACTGCCTCTCTTTATATTTTATTTAACTGTTTCGCTATATAAGCAAAGCTAAGCAATCTTAAGGGCTCCATCATTGACATGGAAGGAGAGAAAAATATTGAGGTGGGTGTTTGTAATTATATTCAGTCAGTGCTTCGTGCAATTAACCTTCCACCCCAGCACCCACACAATAAAATAATCATGCTTAGCTTGTTTTTGTACGTGCTACACAACGGTCAGCCAAAGAATAACGAATAAATTTAAAAAGGAAAGCGAATTTATTCACAACTTTAAAAAGTTATAAAAGAGGAGAAAAATTAAAAAAAAAAAATTTTAGAGAAAAATGTTAACAAGGGCCTGTTGTGACCACATACATATCGCAAATGATAATTAGATTTTCTTTCCTCTAAAAATAGTAGAAAAAAATGGTAAGAAAAATAAGTTTTAAGTTGATGTCAACAAGGGCGTGTTGTGACCACATAAAGAAACACGATAGGTCGGTTGCTAAATGCTTAATTAACGTTTATTATTGTTTATTTTATGACGACAACTGCTGTTGCTGTTGCTGCTACCACTGCCGTCATCATCATCATAAGCAATCATTAAATATCAGCAAAAATAGTCGTAATAGAAACTGATGTCCTTATAGTCGCAGTATAACAATAGTTAAAAAAAGAAGTATTGTCACTGTGAACTTGTCATTGCTATCAATTTGATTGAACTAAAAATTAACACACTCACTTATAATCACTATTAAATTATTATATTCATTACTAATTAGCGTTTGCTCTCTAAAATAATGTATTGATCTTGAAGAAGCCAGTATATTCTGTAACAATTAGGTACATAAGCACTCGAAGCTTGCGCACCTGTCATTTAAAGAAATACATTCCTTCTTAGCCCTAAACCTGATACGTCAGTCTATGCGTTGTATGCAAATAATTTGAAAACGTCCCTCTTAAAACGTGTTTATTTTTATATATACATACATACATGTAAAGATGAACTTAGTATTTATTTATTAATTTATTCATTTAAATTGCGTGGTGATCTGTTGCGTTGAGTTTCGTACAAATGACCTTAGAAAAAGTACGAATCCATCTCTTCCTCTCTCTTCTAAGCTAAGAGTTAAATAGAGTAGACTCAGGCTTTCTAGCCTTGGCTGGCAACCAGTCTAATACAAGGTAAGCTCTTAATTCAAAAATGCGGAGAAGGCAATGGGAAACCACTCCACTATTTTTCCCAAGGAGTCATGACAGTTCACAGAAAATAAAGAAAAGGAAACTGTGGAGAGAGATGATCACCTACGTGCTGAAGGAAGAAAGACTGCTTTGAATTAAAAAAAACAAAAACAAAAAAAAAACGTGAAGGTTACGCGAAAACACTGGACTGTCTTTCCCAAAGAGTCATAACAATTCACAGATATTAAAGAGGCGGAAGCTGTGGAGACCTGTGATCTTGTATATCCTGTAGGGACAAGCCATTTTTTTTTTATCAGTTAGCTAGTTCCTTAATTTAAATAAGTTCAACTAGAAAAAAAGAAGGGGGAAGAGTTTCATTATTATTATTATTATTATTATTATTATTATTATTATTTTTATGAGCCAATCCTTGATTCTCCCGCCAAAGAAAAATTTTGAAATATTTCCAGTGTATTCAAAGCAATTTAAATATTACAAATTAGGTCATTTAAGTGTGTATGTGTGAAGAAGAGAGTGACGTAAGAAGGAGTATATTGTGTGCAAATGGATGGGGGGGGGGAAGGAGGTAGTCCATGTACACTGGATATATCTATGTATGCGCGCGCGTGTGTGTATATATATATATGTGTGTGTGTGTGTGTGTGTGTGTGGGCACGCGACTTGTGTACTTTGATTGAGTCTGCGCGTAAGTGATGTGTTCAGCTTACAGAAAAGGAAAAGAGAAAAATTATTCTATTATTTTTTTATTTTATATCATCAGCATTTATATGCATGTCTAAAATTTCAACCGATTTAAAATTAATTAATTTCGAAATTAAATAAATTAAACATTGTAACGCACGCACACACACACACTCATATATGTGTGTGTTTATATATATATATATATATATATATATATATATATCCCCTGAAGAGTGGACGCCTACGAAACTCTGAAGTAGGAGAGCTGTGGATAACATAAATCAGTGACAAACTTTTACACACACACACACACACACATATATTTGTGTGTGTGTGTGTGTGTAATCCAACAAATATACGTCAAATTTCTTTAAAAAAAAACAAACAATGAGTTAAAACGCATAAAAAAAGAAAAAAAAAGATTAATTTTCAAATTACGTGAAAACAAATCTCCCATTTGGTGCTTAGATGGTTTTACGTAATATCATTTCATCCCAAGCAAGGCGATAATGCCACTAAGACGCAAGGGATTAGTGAGTGTGAAAGCGCATGAGAAGACTATTAAAAAAATAAAACTTGCTAAAGAGTGATCAATTCTTGGATTGCAATATACTGACAAATGATCTTTTAAAGTGATAAGAAAATAATGCAATTATTTTTTTCATTTTAATACTTAAAAAATTTCGTAATTATATGTAAAAAAAAATATTTCGTTTTCTCTATCCGTTTTATAGCTCTAAACAAAAAGACTAAATTTATTAAGAACTAGAACGGACAGGAAATTGTGGAGAGCCATGATCACATAGAAGAATAGCTTTAAATAAGCTTTGAATTCGTTTTACACAGTCATATTTTTAGCCAAGAAGGCAATATTTTAAAGCCATTTAATTGGATGGAAGTTCGTCGATATGAACATTAGTATCGTTGATAGTTATCGAAAACTTTTTTTTGTCGGGGTGAAGAAGGTGGTGATGTAACTATTTTTATTACTCATTAGATGATAAATAAACTTGCTTAAAATAAAAAGTCAACTGAATTTCAATTAATGCAAGAATTAATCTTAAGAAAAATTCAGTGTTTTAAAAATAAAATCATTCATATTTTAAATGATGTCACCGGGGATTGATTTTCTTTATGGCCATGACTTGGGAAAGATAATGAAGTGGTTTCCCGTTCATGATTTTGAATCCAGAGTTTTCCTTCTCCTAGACTGACTGCCACCTGAGGCTTTAAAGCCCAATCTATCCTGTTACTTAACCTATAACTAGTGGGGGGGAGTTAATTCATACCTTTGCCAAGTGTTTTATTGCGAAAATAAACGAAACAGGCTGTAAATTGAACCTGGTTCGTCGATCTAATATTTTTTCTTTCTTTTTTTTTTCCTTTCTTTTTTCTTTCTTTCGTATATGTCAAGCAACGGCCTTGTTTCCGTATAAATAATTATTATACGGGTCCCGATATATATATATATATATATATATATATATATATATATATATATATATATATATATATATATATAATAAATAACAAATCCGTTGGTATATAATCGAAGTGGATCATAAATATAAAATATTAAAACGGATCAAAAAAAAAGAGCTCAATGTATTTATAATTTATTATTACAGAGTAAATAATTAATAAACATTTAAACAATAATCAGTTTTAATATTTTATATTACTAAGACCCACTTGGATTATACCAATGGATTTGTTACATTTGGAATTTTATTGTTTATATATAAATGCAATTGCACTGAACATTTAAAATAAAACTAGACTGTGCAGTGTGTAAGAGTCTGGATTATTTATGTCAAAACCCTAAATAAAAATGATTTAATTTTTCAGATTTTTTTTTGGGGGGGGGGCACGGATGTGTCTGCAAATTCCTAAAATCCTCTCCGTCTTATTTTTATTTATTTATTTTGTGTGTGTGTGTTTGTCTATGGCATACACAATCATTAATATGTGAAAGAAAAAAAAGTTCGAAAAAGTTAGTCAACCGAATTCAAAGAAAATAAGATTAGAAATAAAAATAAAACAAACCTGTTCTGGCGACAAAACGTTGTTGAGTCCGTAAGCGGCAGGCAGCAAGATTAAATAAAGGGTTCGTATGGAAGGTGGGATGCGTTTGGGTGCCAATTGTCCGTCGTAATTCTGGGGCCCAACTGCAAGGAATATATACATTTCCTACGTGGTCAAGTTCGGGACTCATTTCGCTGCCAGTCCGAAGAGCATACAGATGCTGCCAAGGTCGGGGTCTGTCATCAAATGGGTAACTCGAACCAAGCTGCATATCGAGCGTAAGTATCTCATTGCCCAAATTGTAATTGTTGTTGTTGTTGTTGTTGTTATTGTTGTTGTTGTTGTTGTTGTTGTTGTACCGGTTCAACCTGCCTGGGTTGCGTATAGGGATGGGTTGACTAGCCCGAAGAGGATAGCTGGGGGCAGTGTCGTCCTGGAAACTCTCGGAGACACTGTCGCTTGCGAACACGTCGTCTTCCTCCTCCTCGTCGTCGTCATCATTGTCATCGTCGTCGTCGTCGTTGTTCGAATCGTCGACGTCGTCCTGCGAGTCGTTTTCATTGATGACATGGTCGTCCACGCTACTGACACTGCTCGGGGCTGGCGTGTCGGGACCGTGGCCACCGACGGCCCCGTAAGCCACTGTCGCCATCTGAGTGTGATAATAAGGTGGATGAGAGTGCTGCTGACGATGGTGATGATGATAATAGTGATGGTATCGGTATCGCATCGTCTGAGACATTGATGGTGATGACGGCAAAGACTGATGTAAGGGTTGATCCGGACTTTGCTCAAAAGGAAAAGAAATTGCCGATATATTAGCCGGCGACCCGTCTGTAACATATCCACTGTCTCTACATCCAGCAGGCGGGGAACAAGGTGACATGGTCGATAGGCAGGAGGTCACCGACCCCGAACGATATTGTGCATTCACCACATCTGTGGGTCCTGTTTGATGGGGGCTGGGTTTAGGATTTAGGCTAACATTCTCACAGCTATCTCCAGTTGGGTCCACTGGAGGTGCTTGCAT